TAATATTTACCACAGTCTCCTCCTTCTATTTTTTATATTATTAATGGTAAATATACAAAGATAACACATTTTAGTTTGCACTTCTATAAATTACACGGTGTAAAGGATTCCTATTATCTCATCTGCGAGGCGGTACATTTCTTCGACAGTCTGAAAATGATGCATAAGGTTAGAATTCTTCTCATACATTATATGAACAATTATAACAATGAATGGGCTACTTCCTATTAAATTGTTATTTTAAAAATTTAACGAAATACGCTATTACTTACTATTCGCTTATTCGTTATACTGTATAAAAAATGAATATCACTTAATAGCTCAAACATTTAAATAAAACTCGGGCTTCTCTTTCCTAAGGTAAAGAACTAAAAATAATTGCTCCGGAATAAACTCAGCCAGGGATTTCTGGATTTAAACTTACAAACAAATGTATAAAAGCCCTAAATGTGTCATAAAACCTAAGTAAATCTGGGATCTTCCCGAGGGTTCCCAATTGAGTCTCTTTACTTCATAAAAAGGACTTCCACATAGAGGGGTTCAAATAAATGAGGTCCTGAAATATATGGGAACCGGACGAATACAGGAAAACCAAGTAACCAAGGCCAACAGTCAAACTTCTCAATTAGATTTTTAAAAGCTTCCAATAGTTAGTATACGGAATGTTCAACTTGTTCTTCCCAATTTATTATCCAGGAATTCTTACAAAAGATGTTTATAACTCCAAGAACTCACTCTTCACCTCATAAAAGTGTTAAAACTCATATCCTCTGAAGAACCACCCTAAACTAGAAAATCTAAAGGGCTTAATAAATGTAATTAATATAAAATGAACCAATCACTAAACATTCAGAAAAATACAGAAAACCACTGAAAAATCAAACACGAAACCTGTAACAGATACCGTATGGTCTCAACTATTCTGATAAGTTTAAGAATTAAAAGTCATCAACAATTTAATGACAAAATTACTATAATGAAAAGGAAAAAGGCAACTCAATAATACTCTAATTGTTTTTTGGCAATGAAAAACTGAAAACTTAATATGATAACGCAAGGAAAGGACACAACGTATCTAAACGCATAAATTAAATCTCCAAAATTAATTAATCATACGAAAATACAATTTTTAAATAATAAACAAAAAACCAATAAGAAAGTTAATTAGTTATAATCAATAGTGGTTACGCGAATACCGGATTAAAGCAGATTAATTGCCAATGACCAAAATGGAGACACACATACAACAATACAAAGTATGTCTAGGCAGGAGAAGATCACAATGAAGGCTACGCAGCAGAAGATCCATTCACTTCTTTTTTTTTTGTTTAGATTATTCTCGAGGAGGGGAAATCTTCAAAAGACACCTCCTGAGGGGAGGTAGTGTCGGATTTTTACTGGCTAAAAACCCCTCCTCGAGTGAGAAGATAAACCCTGAAAGTTGCTCATCCCCGGGAAGAAAATGGAAAGTTGGGATTGGGAAGAGGAGTGAGATGAGAAAAGGGTTGAGTGTGGGGGGGGGAGAAGGAAGTATTGGGGAGGGAAACCGTCGAACTAGGTGGTTCACCTCTGAAGTGATGGGTGGACACTCGCGCTAAAAAGCGAAGCTAGAAGTGATCCTTTCACATCGAGAGGCCTGACTATATATGCCCTAACAAGATGGATCAACACCCGTTTCGAGGTGAGAACAACCAATCGGGGTCAAGAAACATTGAATCGGGCCATATGGACATTCACAGGGCACACGATAAGAAAACATTATGTTAGCTACATCAGCCCTGAGAAAAACAATAAATGGGTCACAAGTAAATTAATACACGGAGCGGTATTTTCCGTAGAGAGAAAACATTACAAAATATAAATATAAATACAATAAATCAAATGTAACCGTAATCTGCAAGGATAATGGAAACTAGCTTCCTTAAGTTAATAAGCGGAAAACATAGAGTGAAAATAAATCAAATAAATTTATGTCATCTAATTATTTCCCTCATAATTTACACTGAACAAAAAATAGCAATAACTAAGGAGTAGAAGTGGGCGAACTACAAACACAGATGAAAGTATTATGCACTTTACTGAACTACGGAATAATAGAATTATAAAGTTAGGTACTGCAACTTTCTTCATTAAGCACGTTGAAATAGCAATGCTTTTAAAAGCACTTACTTAATAATAGTTAGTCTGTTTATTATTCAATAAAAGTGTATGGAGCTAACTACGAACGGCGGAATAAAATGATTCAGCGATTTATACACACGGACATTAGTACGAGTAAGTATAAAATTGACGGTTTAATCCACTTTTTTATCAATGATGTGAAAACGCAGCAAGTACTTCAATAGTTTCTTTTTACTTTCATCGTAATGAACTCGCTTAATATTTGGCAAAATAATTAACATTGCCTTTTTTCTTTACTAAGTGAAGTTTCTTTTTTATCATTTGGTAGTATATACACAGTTCACTTAATCTACAAATACCAAAAATATTTTGCCTGCTTTTGAAAATATACTTTAAAACAACGAATTGGGAAAATGCACTATCTTCAAATGCCTCGAATTATTCGCACCAATTTTTGTTCTTTACTTAATCAGTTAGTGACTTTTGGAATATAAAAAAAAAAACATTGGTTTATCAGAAAACACAGGCATAAGTGATAAATTCTGTAAACTTTCAAAAATTTTTAAACGTCATGAATCGAATAAATCAACAATTTGGTGAGTTTTCTCATCGTTTATAAATTAATGAACAAATTATTCTCTACTTTAGAAGATATTCCTGTAAAATGTTTATTGGTTCTTCAGGTACATATCTGTATTAATTTATACTGTCACGCAGTGGAGTTTTAAGGAAAATCAAAAACTATTCTAGACTTTAAAACATATTTCAAAAGTAGAGTGGGTGGATCGGCTTGCGAGTTTCGATGATTTAGGGAGCCGGACCATTGGTTCAAATGGGGGGGGAGGTTAAAGAGGAACCAGACTAAGAGAAGGCCCTGAAAGAGGGCAGCAGCTCTTTCAGTACTCAGGGTAGCAGAAATCACGAGAATCGGTATGGTACTCTGATGCACAATACTGCGATGTGTAATCGTTCGTGTCGAATAGCGTGAATAACTCTGTATAACTCATTCCAATTGACTACGTATTCTCTAATAAATTAATTTTTTTATTGCTCTCACTAAAACATCTTAGCATCTGTTATCTTTCAAGTTTTTGTCCCATTAAGAAATATAGTGCCTACCTTACACCGGCGTAAATGTTTGAGTTCATCGCTTTCATACTTCAAACGATCGTATTCTCCTTGTGGAAGAACCATATCATTATCAAAAGCATCGTTATCGGTTGATTCCAGAAAAGCAAATGGACACAAGCACAGTTCAGTGGTTGAATTAAGTGCGTGAGCCTTTTCCGTAGAATTTTCGAATGGTAAATCGGGAATTTCATCATAATACAGATTTTGCGGAATAAGAGCTGATGGTTTCTTTATCTAAAATAAAAATAAGTACAATTCAGCGTAGATACTCAATAAATTACACAACAAATAAAAATAGTGTTTTATTTAGAATAACAAACTTTTGTCTCATACTGCGTTTAATGAGCACCCTGTATATGCAAAAATATTTTGAAGATAAACATTTTAAAGCATCGGGCAACTTTTATTTATTTTTGTTAATATCATCCGGTAAGGAGATATCGTTCGATATACCACCAATTGGACACACTGTGTATGTTATGTAACTTGAGAGACATGTACTATTTGACAATTTGGTCAAAACGGTATCGCCAGATGTTATCAAAATTAGAATATTTATCAATACTAATGCATTATTTTTAATTCATTAATATTTTATCTTTTCTCGTATATCGGTGTAATGATTAGTATTAAGACCTTTTTTGATGAAGGTGCAGTGATTTCGCCACAAGAACTACTATAAATACTAACTAATAAAATGTCTTCTCGCATATAAGTAAAATAAAGGAAAAATGAAATTAACAGTTTCTAAAGGGCAACTAAATATTTAACATGGATATAATAAAATTCCTAACACCCATTTCATCGTTTAAAGTTAGACGTAACCTATTTTATTTATCTGATTCTTTAATAGGATAATCCCCATACAGATTAATAATTGGTTCAAATTTATTGAATAAGTAGTAATAATGTTCTTTTAACAATAATTAGCCAAATTTAGCATAGTTCTTAATAAGTAGTGTTCCCATAATTAATGCAATTATCATTTTGATTACATATTCTAGAAATTTGGTTTATGATTGTATATTTTTTAAGTGTAATAAAAGCCAAAAAGGGTTAAAAGATATTGACTTTTTAAAAACAAACGTCAATGTTTCATTCTAGGTCGTCGGGCTTTCTTAAAGTCAATAATGAAGCAAGACAGTTGGAATTTCCATTTTGGAAAGACACATAATAGTTACAGTAGTTCGTATTAGCCTTTCTCGGACTGTGTCCAATTGATGATGAAGATCTGGTGGGCTTTTCTGCCATGGTCGAATTCAGATTGTAGACGTTTCGCCATGCTTAACAGATGACATCTTCAATGGTTCACGATGCTGAATCGGGGACTAAATGATTGATGTGCGATCTTAGGCGTGCTTTTATACTACTCTCGCGGTCACGGTTGGCTGGTACTGCATTATCGTCATATTTCGTTCCGGTAGGTTGCACCCTCGTTTGTTTGTTTCTTAGCAGTGGTTTCCAGGCTCTGTTTATCGGTAATCTATCTTCCCTGTTAAGATTATACGGATATTGTGCAATTTCTAAGGCTTCTCTCCTAGCTAAATTGTAATAGCATGACGTGCGTATAACACTTGCGTATCTTCGAAGGAGATCCCGTGTCTTTCCTTCCAGGAGTGTTCTGCTAAAGCGAATTTGTCTGGTTGGTGTAACCGCAAATTTCTTTCGTGTTCCGAAAACACATTACCCATTCATCAGCCGATCATACATCGTGAAGCACTGAAGATGTCATCTATTAAGCATAGCGAAACGTCTGCAATCAGAATTTGACTACGGTAGAAAGACCTAAAAGCTCTTCATCATCAATTACATATAATAGTTAACAATCCCAATTAATTCACAGTTTTATAAATAGAAACCCTAATAAATATAACAGCTCATATTTACAATTACAGATAAGCAGTTGTAGAATTAAAATAATAAATACATACAAATAATTAAAAATCATGTGGTGACAACCGAACAATTCAATTTTTTTAACTGTTTAGCTCTACTTGTGAATGTCAGCTGTTTCTATTTAGTGTTTTTGTCTATATAACTGTGAATTATATTGGATTGTTAACTATTATGTACATACAGTCGTTTTGGATATTGCGATTAAAGTAGATTAGTTGTGAATAGAACCTTCGTATCTGCGTAGGTGTCGCAGATGGGTAGATTTAGACACTTCTTGCAATATCTAGTGAAGTATATGTCTTTATAGCAGACTGATTTATTTAATCATTTATATATGGCAATAGTTCATTCGGCAGATTACATAAATGTCAGTAGGTGTCTCTAACCTAGATCATTCACACTGTATAGTGTTTATCTATGCTTGCATAAAATTATTACATGCGGATTTTACATTAAAAATATTATCTGTGGAGAGCGTTCCCAGTGTTGAACGATGTTCTAATGTTCGTGGGTTTAACAAAATTAACTTCTAAGACTGATAACGACAAAACTATTTATTTACACTAC